AGTAATTCCTCGAGCGATCCCTCTGAATTCTGCTTCTGCACTTGATAGAGCAACTACCTTTTGTTTCTTGCTTTTCCATGTGACCAAATTACCTCCAACAAAGGTAAAATACCCTGAAGTGGATCTTCGATCATTTGGATTCCCTGCCCAGTCAGCATCTGTGTAGGCTTGAATATCTAAGTGACCATGTTTTTTGAATGTAACTCCCATATTAATGGTCCCCTTAAGATATCTCACGATTCGGATAGCTGCATCCCAGTGTTCCTTCTGTGGTTTGTGCATGAACTGACTTACCACTCCGACAGCATATGCAATATCAGGTCTTGTGAGTGCGAGGTATATAAGTCTGCCTACAAGTCTTCGATACTTATCTTGATCAGCTTGTATTCCTCCCTCATTAATTTGAAGTCTGTGGTTAACCATCATAGGAGTGACAGCCGGTTTGCAATCCATTAATCCAGTTTCAACTAAAAGATCAAGGATATACTTCTTTTGACAAATAAAGATCTCCTCTTGAGATTTGAGAACTTCAATGCCAAGGAAAAAATTAAGTTATCCAAGATCTTTCATGTCGAATTCCTGGAATAACTTGCCCTTCAATATAGCCATCTCTTCTATGTCACTGCCAGTAATTATCATATCATCCACATAGATGATCAAACATGTTATAAGCTTGCCTCGTCTTTTAAGAAACAAGGTATGATCAGAGTTACTTTGACGATATCCATATTTCTTCATGGCTATCGTAAATCTACCAAACCATGTGCGTGGAGATTGTTTCAGACCATATAAAGCTTTTCGCAATCTACAACCTTCGCCTTCTCTGAAATTCGACGAGAACCCAGGTGGTGCTTCCATGTAAACCTCATCTTTTAGCTCTCCATGGAGAAAAGCATTTTTCACATCAAACTGATATAAGGGCCAATCTAGATTAGCTGCTACGGAGAATAATACTCGGATAGTATCAATTTTAGCTACTGGTGAGAAAGTCTCAGAGTAGTCAATACCATAAGTTTGAGTATATCCTTTAGCTACCAATCTGGCCTTATATCTCTCGATTGTTCCATCTGCTTTGTGTTTGACTGTAAATACCCATCGGCATCCGACTGGTTTCTTTCCCGGGCAGAGTTGACATTTCTCCCATGTGTTGTTTTTCTCTAGTGCCTTCATCTCCTCCTCCATTGCTTTTCTCCATTCTGGTATTCGTATGGCTTCGTCTACTGTTCTAGGAACTTCATGGCTGGATGTGTGAAGTGCCTGTGATACACTCCCCCTGACTAGATCAGCAACAGGATATCTTGAGTTCCGAGGTATGTATTCTGGTTCATATCTGACAGGAGGAATTCCCCGATTCTTCCGTGGTGGGAG